TTCCAGCCCTTTTCCTTTTCCTTCCTTCCTTCCTCAGCTCCCCAGGAACAAGATTTAGTGTCAACAAAGTTGATTTCTAAAACGCTTCCACTTGCCGTGGAATGATGATAATGATGATGATGATGGTGGTGGTGGTGGTGTTGCTCTCCAGGCACCAGATACAGGGAGAGCAGAAAACAGGAAGCCAAAACCTTGGAACTTCACGCCCAGCGTAAAGTGCAGCTCTTCAAAGCAGAACAAACGGCAGGAAACCACGGATATCCCCCAGGATCAGGCATCCCATGTGCCGTGGTGTGCTTTGAGCTGCAGGCCCCCAGATTTACCTCCCAGCTGCAGGCTGAGTGAGGCACTCCATCTGTGCAGGCGCTGGGGAGCAGCAGCAGCAGCCAAGGGCTGGGATGTTCCAGATGTTGGGCTGCAGGAAGTGGGAAGGTGTGGCATCTCCAGGGCTGCATCCCAAGCCCATCAGAAGGGAAGTGGTTGTGGGTACAGGATCTCCCACTCACAGAGACTGGACCACAAAAGAGGGGGTGAGGGGGAAGGATGAAAAAAAAAGCAGCATTTGTTAGGATGTAACTTCTCTGGCTCTCCATGAGGCCTGGGACTGCAGTCAGGAGAGGGGGGTGGCTTTGCTGAGAGGCTCGGTGAGCCAGAGAGGCTTTTTTGTTGTCTCAGTGCTGGGGCTGGTGTCAGATCTAGGCCGGGAGTAGTCCTGAAAAGCAATTTGCCTGGGCTGCCGAGGAATTAGTCATGACTCCTGTGCCCACTCGCTTGTGATCCTTTGGAGAAGGGCACGGTGTCAGCCACAGTTTAGCTCTTGAGGGAGAAGGAAACCCCGGTAGAAAATATCAGCTGGTGAACTGAGGTGATCTCCCCCTCCCCAGACATGGCAGTGCTTTGTTTCCACCTTAACCTGGGCAAATCCAATTCCAGACAGCATAATCTCTCCCCTCCTCTTCCCTGAAAAGAGCAGCTGTCACCGGGCTCTGGGAGCCGGGTGGGAGGATCTAATGCTCCGAGAGGACCTGCTGTCAGCAGGGCCACGGGCCCACAGCCCAATTAAACTAATGCCCAGTGATAGGAGTTAAACCTGTTAGAATTATATCTCTCCATGTTTATTGCTCAGCCACGAAGCCTCTTATGGCAGAGATGTTCTTCCCTCCCTCGGGACAGCGCCGCTCCCAGCAGAGGCTGCGCTGCCATCGGAGCTGTCTCGAGTCCCCAGCTCTCCTGCAGCTGCAGCTGAAGTTCACCTGTGTCCCCCCAGGTTGTTCCCTGCCCTTCACCGGGGCTGGGATGATCCAAGCAGGCAGGAGCCGGGGAGCAGAGCCGGCCCTGCATCCCCCAGCGAGGTTTTGTCCTGCCTCCCTCGCTGCTTCCCTCGGCCCTGCTCTGGCCTGGGCTGACTCAGACCACTCGCCCTCCTCCTCCTCCTGGCTGGCCTGAGTCAGCTTGGCAGGGAGTGGAGACCTGAGCTGCCAAACCTCCCTTCCTTGACTCATCCCAGCAGCTCTGCCTTCCCCAGGGGTGTCGGACGGAGGAGCTCCGCGAGCAGCAGGATTCCACTGCTGCTCCCCCAGCGAGCTGGAAATCCCAAAACAGTGGAGTAAATGTCTTGGGAATGGTGGGGTGAATTCAAGTGATGCCAGTTAAATAGTTTTGCTCATTTTCACTCTCTTCCTTCAATCTTTTCTGCCCAAACTGGTCTCTGCAGTTGGGAGCTGCCTCCTTTTTCCCTTTGCCATTTTTTCTGGGAAGCTTTCTTGCAGGATGGGGATGTGGAGATCTTGCTGGGTGAAGTCTGTGACATCCCAGATTCACCTGTACTGTGCAGCTCTGGCTCAGAATATTCTCCCATGGGACTTACCTTGAAATTCTTGATGGGGTGGCAGAAGCTCAGCAGAAAATCTTAGTTCTCATTTCTATGGGTTTCACTTTTTTTTGGAGAAGGAAACACTTCCCTCTTTTTCCCAAGATCCACAAAGATGCTGAGACCACTGCAAGATGCAGAAATCAGCTCATCTTCCTCCTCCAGGAAAAAACACGAACCCCAGGGGGATAGGAAGGTTCCTCACAGTCCCTCATTTCCATCTCTTTGTAGTGTTGGCTTCGGTCTTGCTCCATTGCCTCACAACCAGGGTGGTGATGATGATCCTGCCCTTCAAGCAGGAGGGCTGTGATCACAGGTGGGAGGCCCAGTGTTTGCAAACAAAAAAAAGAACTGGGTGAAGGAGAGAAGTTGTTTTATTTCAAAGCTTTCGAGAGCTCGTCGCTCTTGATGTAGATTTAAATAAAAACCCCGAGACGAGCGATTTTTGCATTACCCAGCCCCTGTGCCTGGAAGAAAAAATAAAAACCCGTTCAATACAGAAAGTGTGGTTTGATTTGGAGTTTTCAGAAAGAGGCTGCAGAGCAGTGGGATTATTTTAATAATACGGAAACTTCCCTTCAGGATATTGTAATTTTCTTGCCTGTACTTCTTGTTCTCGTTACTCTTAACGTGCTAATCCTCTCCACAGCCTCTGTCGGCTGCGTGTGACCGTGGATAGCTGCTGGGAGTGGGAATTACTGTGTGCTCTGCAAAATGTTCCCAGCTTGTCCTCCTTGCAGGGCTCTGCCTGTGACTCTGCTGGCTGGGAGCACGTGAGAGCAGCTTTTCCCTCTGCAAAGGAGCTGTTTTTGTGGGATACCCGGGCTGGGAGGCTCCACGAGCTCGCAGACTGTGGGGACTGGGAGCCAGTTGCTGCCTGTGGGCGTGAAAAATAAGAGCAATCCTTGGGCAGCTGTCTCGGAGAGATGGGGCTGGGGATGTGAGTCAGGCTGGGCAGCTGAAGTGTGTCTGTGTGGAGTCACCTCGGTCCCATGTGGACCCTGCTCTGGCACTGGGGTGGGGGCTTGGGGGAGCTCGGGAGGTTTGGGGGGTTCACAGCACCCAGAGGGTCACAGGGTGGGGAGGTTTTGTCTTTATGGAATGGATCCTAAAATCCCAGAATGGTTTGGGTGGGAAGGGAGCGTTAAACTCATCTTGTTCCCCCCCCGCCATGTGCAGGGACACCTTCCACTGTCCCAGGGTGCTCCAAACTCGCCTCAGACACTTCCAGAAATGGGGCATCCTCAGGGAAATCCATCCCAGCCCCTCCTCACCCTCACAGGGAACATTCCTTCCCAAAATCCCACGAATCCCTGCCCTCTGGCAGTGGAAGCCATTCCCTGTGTCCTGTCCCTCCATCCCTTGTCCCCAGTCCCTGTCCAGCTCTCCTGGAGCCCCTTCAGGCCCTGGAAGCTGCTCCATATCCTTTAATCAACGATGCCTTTTGCTTATTGCACAGAAACAGGCGAATCTGACAGCAAAAAAGGGCCAGAAACCCTGAATATTCACAGGTCTTCCACAGCCAAAGCTTTTGGAGGAATTGGTTGCTGAGCAGATCCTCCTAAACACAGAGAGGGAACAATAAGGGAACGACACCCCCAGCCTTTCAAAGGGGGCACATTTTTGAGTCGTGCCCGACCCTGTGTGGTTTGCAACCAAAACAATTCACACCTAAGGCCTATAAATAGAGTGCAATAGTCCCTGGATATTTTAGCAGCCGGAACAGGCACGGGGATGGAGGGTGAGTTTTACTATGTGCTGGTTACCTGACCTGCAGGGCGCCAGCTGCCGCGCGTTTCTGCGCTCGCCGAACGCCAGGCACAAGTCGTGTGAGCTGCCCCCACACTGCTCCGTGTCTGTTCTCTCCAGCACCCAATTTTAGCAGCACGAAAAGGGAGCTGGAGCTCCTGGGAGGGTTTTTTGGAGCAGAGGGATTGGGGGGGAGAGAGCCCAGCTCGCATCCCCCGGATGGTGGGAGCGGATGGTGCGGACAGCTGGGTGCTGGGATGGGGCTGGAATGTGGCTGGGCACTGCCTGCCCTCAGATCAGCCTGGTGGAGTTCAAGTGCAGCCCAAAAAGATGTTTAAAGAAGGAGATTTGAAGAAAATTTCCATCTTTAACCCCCAAGCTTTTAACAGCAATTCTGCTTGAAAAGCAACGTCCCCATTAAATTGTGGTGCTGCATCGAGCCTGGGATTGAAATCCCAGGGCCAGCAGGAAGAATTGGAACAAACCTTTGGATCCTTCTAGTCCTGGCTGCTCCCAGCACTCCGCATTTCCTTAATAGCACGGGAGCTTGACAACACAAGTGAACCCAGAGCTGATCCCATGACAACAAACGCGCACGGATTTACTCTTGGCTGGTCAATTGAAATCCATTTGCTTCTCTGGTTGACGAGGTGTGGAATGAATGTTTTAAGTGTGTTAAAACAGTCAGCATGGAAAGAAAGTTCCTTAAAATATCTCCTATCGCTGGAGGTTTGCTGCCAGCTAGCAAGTAGGAGGGAGCAGGCACTGAGGTAGCATCGGGAGAAGGCTGTGCTGGAGCTCTGAGCTGGGAGCACAGGGTTCCCCTCCCTTTTGGAGGTGTCACAGTGCACTGGGATTGTGCTCCTGCCCAAGAGTTTCATGGGAGGGAGCTGTTGCAGGGGTAAGGAGTGTGTGGAGGGGGTGAATAATGCAGAGATGGCAAGGCTCACTGGTGGTTTGGGGGGAATTTCACCATCCTGTTGAGGATGAGGAAGGAGGACACAGGCAGACCCACCTCAGCATCCTTAACAGGGCTGGAGGAGCAGCAGCTCCCCTCAGTTTTTGGGAGGAAAAAACTTTGTCCCCCAGCACTGAGCCATGCTAGGTTGTGACCTCCCTGCTTTTATACCATTCCCATTTATTCCATCAGCTCCCAATCCCTGTGCTGGAGCATGTCCTTGGCTCAAGCTGACATGTTTGGTGCTGGCTCCAAGGGAGTCTGGAGCTCCAAATCCCCAAGACTTCCTTTACTTTGAGACATAACTCCCATGAAAGCTGCAGCTTGTGCTGGGCTCAGCTCAGCATTTCCCAGGGCCAGCTTTCCCTGCAGCAGGCTGCCCTGCAATCCCCTGGAGCTGATTTCCATCTCTTCTTTCCACAGGTGGAGAGAGACTTTGAAAGGGAATATGGGAAGCTGCAGCAGTGAGTATCAACCACACTGGTCGGACAGGACCGGCCGCGTGCTTCCCTCCTCCCATTGCATCTTCCCAGGGAATTTTAGCCAGGGATGCTCTTCCCAGTGAGCAAATCCCTCGCTGCCCTGTAATTTCCAATTCTTCAGGGTTTCTCTGAGTGTTCAAAGGTGTCCTCAGAAGTATTTGCAGTGGGGTTGCAGATTCTGGCAGCTTGAAAAAAAGAAGTGTAAAATTGCCAGGAAACTGCGGGGTCCCTGAAGAGGCCAACACCTCAGAGGACCAGGAGTGGCTTTGCCATCCTGCCTGTGTCACAGGAGCTCACAGGGATCATCTGGAAGCATTTGGCTTTACCATTTGTGCTAAGTGTGAGAACTTTCAGGAAATATGCGAACTATGAATAAGAGATCACCAACTTGAAAAGGTTAAAAACCATCTGAAAACAACCCGAAAGGGTTGAGCTGCACTGAACTTCATCAAGCCTTGCCTGGATATTTTTAACTCCCACCAGAAGCCAGCATATTCAGCCCGTAAATGATTTGTTGCACGTATGATACACTTGGGTTTCTTTCTTTCCAAGATTCCGACTTTGCCTTCCTTCTCCCATCTTTCAGATTGGAAGATCAGACCAAAAAACTTCAGAAGGATATGAAGAAAAGCACAGATGCAGATTTGGGTAAGTGACTGGAGGATACATAGACTGTGAACTTGGCCACAGAGAGATGAAGTGACTTTTCTCGAGATCACATGAGTAATGTGTGACAAGTCTGGAAAACAAATCCAGAGCTCAGTCCCACTCAGTTTGCTTAGTTACAAGGCCATCTGCGAGAGGCAGCTCAGCCCAGGGAACACAGGGAGTGCTGCGGGCTCAGTCCCTGTCTCCTGAGCTCCGTGGCCTTGGACAAGTCCCTTTCTTTTGTTTGCCTCAGTTTCTGCCACTGAAGAAACCCAGGAGTCGTTGGTCCAGGTCTCAGATTATCCAGCAGGAGCAGCTCCAGCTGAGCCTATTGTGCCAGCAGTGCTTTTTCACCTCCTTCAGTCCTCCTTTCATCTCCTTCACGTCCCTCTCTGAGCCCCAGGAAGGTGGGATGGGTCTGGGGGCACAGCTGGACACAGCTGGCCGTGTTTCCCGTGGGAAATGCTGACCTGGCAGCTCTCCTTTGGGAATAACCCAGCTCATTCCCTCCCTGGCTGCTCGTTTTGGCTTCCCCTCGTGGCAGTGGGCGATGGAGGAAGCAATAAACAGCTCTGCCTGCACGTTTGGGGTGGCATCTGCCCTTGCAGGTGTCCTGTCCCACGTCCCAGCTCCCTCCACATCCCTCTGGTCGGAATCTGCAGTGCCCAGAGAGGGATCCAGCAGAGGGGAGCTGGGAGCTGCATTTGTTGGATGCTGGTTCCTGAGACGAGCAGAGCAGGAACCTGCAGCAAAGAGCTGTTCCAAAGGCAGATGGTTTTTCCCAGTGTGTGGTTTGGAGCAGTCCCTGCTTGGCCCCCACAGCTCCAGAGCCAAGGCAGAGGCACCAGCACAAACAGGTGTGGGCTGCACTGGGCCAGCACTCACCCGTGGGACCGGGGTCACAGCAGGGCAGGACAGTGGGAAAGAGGAAAATTTGGGGCTTTCCATGATCCAGCCTCTCACCTGTGTGTGTGTGTGTGTGGATATTGCTGACACAAACACAGATCCAGGCTCTTCCCATGCTCTCCCACCTTCCCAGCACAGGCAGAGGGGTGGGAAAAGCACCAGACACGCAGGACTCTTTTCCAGGGTGAAATCTGCCCCTTCTGAGGACTCTGGTCATTGTCAGGGATCCTTGGTAAGTTTTTCCTTGTTAAGGATTCCCCTCCCCTCCCTTGCAGTGGGCGTTGTTTATATGGAGCATTTCAAGTCCCAGAGGAGCTGTGGGAGGACTTTCTTTTTCCGTTCTGTTCCATGGCAGAGTCACAAATGAGCCTTGGCCAGAGCCAGGACGATCTGATTTCTCATTTAAAGGCTTGAAATGGTGAGTGGAGGGAGAGGTACTGCACACAGCCTGCTGAGGGAGGGCTGGAGGAGAAGGAGGTGGGTCAGATCAATCCTTGAGGATGGCTCTCCTCACCTGGCAGTGCCCATTCCCAACATCCAGCCCCCAGATCTGGTGAGGATGACAGGTTTTGCCCTCCTGTCTGGTTCCTCCAGGCTCAGGGGGTTGGTTCTTCACTGCCTGCAAACACTCCCTGCCAAAGTGGGACTGGTGGCTCGAGTCTCCACCTTCTTCCCAAAAAGCTCAGCTCAGAACAAGAGAATTCCTGTGCACAGAAATATCCCAGCCAGGCTCTTCACTGCCCTACCAGCAAACAGGGAATGGGCTGCTAGCAGCACAGTTGTTGGCACAACTGGACATCACTCACCCCCTTCCCCACCCTCTTTCCAGAAGCAGGAGGATGTTCTTTAACTGGAGGTAAAAGCTCTGCTTTGGAATAATTAATTGGAGCTACATCTCACATGTTTAATGAGGAAAAGAGCAGTGCAGACCCTCTTGAGGGCTACCCTGAGGGACAGGCAATCCTTTCTCCTCTTCCTCCTTCTCCTTCTTGTCCCTGTCCTTCTCCTTCTCCTTCTCCTTCTCCTTCTCCTTCTCCTTCTCCTTCTCCTCCTCTCTCCTCTCCTCCCTGCCCTGGCACTCTCAGACCCCCTTTTCAGCTCTCTGTAGGTGATCCCACTGATGCAGAGGAAATTCCTGACCCAAATTCCCCCTGAACATGCCCAAACCCCCCCAGTTCCCAACCTCCCAGCGTGACCCTGCCACTCCCTCCCTCCGGTTCCCTTCCAATCCTTTCCTGTGAAGGAAAACTTCATTTTTCTTGCAGCCAAAGGAGCTGTGCTGTTGTTAACTCCGTCCCATTCTGGCACAAATCCCCGCTCAGATGTGGTCACACATATGGATTCTATCCCATCTGTTTCAAGGTTTAAATGCCCAAAGCCTTCATGTTTGGATAATAGATGGATACGGTAGCTTTGTTATCCTGCAGAGAGAGGCTCCTTCTGCACTGAGCTCCCAGCTCTGCAGCTGCTGAGCCCTCTCTGTTATAATTGTGTGTAACCTTTCAATCAGAATGTTTAACCCCTTGATTTATCATCTTAAGCCCCATTATTCGGATGATTTTAACTTTTAATATCTGAGGGAGTCTTTCCAAAGCTCCTCCAAAGCATCTGGCTTTGTGATCTCCAACTGGAATAACTTCCAGCAGTGAGGAAAAAGAACATTTTTTTTTAAGTACCTCTGGCCTTTTTAGGTTTTTTTTTAGTCTGTTTTATCCCTGTTTATATTTATGCTTTCCTTTTTATTAGTCTTTTTTTCCATTCTGTACCTTCCCTAATTTCTTGCTCATTTGTGTAGTGGTTCTGTCATTGAATTTTCCCTTTGCAGACCAAGTGTTTGGATAAAGAGGGATGGGGCTGATGGAAAACAAGCAGAATGCTCAGTCAGAGCATGACCTGCTGCTTCTGGATTTCTTGGTGGCACTCCCAGGGCCTGTAGGGACTTCATATCCCCCCTGGCTCCTTCTCCACAGGCAAAAAATTTAGGCTTATTGAGGGGAAAATACTTAACTTGTGTCCCTGCTCTTTGTGTTTGGAGAGGGAAAGAGAAACCTCGTCTCCCAGTCCTGTCAGTCTGGTCCTTTCCCACTAAATCCACTTCAAATACATGGGGGTTTTTTTGTAAAGCCATTTGAAAGACTTAATGGACTGTGATTTTTCTCGTTGTGGAAGAGCTGTAGTGAGGCTGAGAGTGACACTTAATAGTCTGTCGAGAGAAGATGTATAAAAACCCCCATCTCTGGGGTTTTTTTAAGAGAACAGTGCTTTTGTTAGTCTGGGATTATTTCTGGCAGCATCACAAGCCTCACATTGGAGTGGTTCAGACTTAACTTACATAAAAACACTTCTCTGGGTGTTTACATGAATGAATTGGTGCCTTTTCCTTGCTTTTCTCTCAGCCTCCACCGAGCATCTCCCTGCAAGCTTGTGCTGACCCCCTCCTGGCTGCCTCAGCTCCCTGATTTTTGCCCTCGTGGCAGTGGGAAATGTGACCCTGTGTGGTTTCTTTTCCATCAGCCATGTCCAAGTCTGCAGTGAAGATCTCCTCAGACCTGCTGTCCAACCCCCTGTGTGAGCAGGAGCCCTCGTTCCTCGAGATGGTCACGGCCTTCGACACGGCCATGAAGAGGATGGACTCCTTCAACCAGGAGAAGGTGCATTGGCTTGGCTGGGAAATGGGAGAGCTGGGAGGGTTCTGGAGTCATGGGATGGTGGGATTGTCCTGGAATCATGGGATGGTTGGGGTTGGGGGGGATTTGAACCCATCCCTGCCATGGCAGGGACATCTCCCACTGTCCCAGCGTGCTCCAACCTGGCCTTGGACATTTCCAGGGATGAGGCAGCCACAGCTCCCCTGGGAATTCCATCCCAGCCTCTCCTCACCCTCCCAGGGAAGGATTTCCTCCCAAAATCCCATCCACCCCTGCCCTCTGGCAGTGGGAAGCCATTCCCTGTGTCCTGTCCCTGCCATGTCCAGAATCCTCTTGTCTCACCTCTTTCCTTTTTATCACCATCCCCAAGACTTTTCCCACAGGAGTTTCTCTAATCTCCCTCTTCAGGCTGGGATTGCAGCTCCCATGGGAGAAATTCCCTCTCTCCTTTTGGTTAAAGGACATCGTGGTTGTGCTCAGGGTCCCTCCCCACCCCCTGGTGGGACCCTACGAACCCATCCTTGTGCAAATGGGATTTTCCAACAATCCTGACGTGCAATCCTCCCATTTTTGCTTTCCACAGGTGAATCAGATCCAAAAGACAGTCATAGAGCCTTTGAAAAAGTGAGTACCAACCATCATCTCATGGGGTTTGTCCTCATCTGGAGCTTTAGGGATGTGGGGCCTGGAGAGAGGCTGGAAATCAGCCTCAGAGGGACAATCCTGCCCTGGTCCTGCTGGCCACACTGCTTTTGTGCTTAATTAATCATAATTTGAACCTTTTTGGCCACTTGGATCCACTGCTGCCTTCACCTGTAGCTTAAAGAACTCCTGAGATATAAAATCGTGGAGCATCCTGGGCTGGAAGGGACCCCCAAAAGATGAATAATTCAATTTTCTCTGTTTATGTGTTGGTTTTTACTTCCAGCAAAGGAACAAAACCACCTGGAGATCATCCAGGGGGGTCAGAAATTGGCTGGTTCAGCAAAAGTTTCTTTCATTTGGAAATTTTCCTGAATAAAAAAGGAGGAAGTGGAAGTTCCTTCATGTTTACAAATAATATTTATAAATAATATTTCCATGCAAAGAAGGAGGAGAGGCTACAGAGCCTTCATAGCCAGAGAGGTTGGAAATGAGGGGAAAATGCCCAAATCCCACAGTTCTGTCACATCTGGCCTGCAAAATTTCCACCTTTTCCAGGGTCACAGGCTGTACCCCCAAACCTTTCATGATACCTTCAGTTCTCTCCCAAATATCCCCTTAAATCCCAAGATTTGCTGTTTTGTTACAGGAGCAGAGCCAGCGAGCAAAAATAAAATGAAATTACTTTAATATGACAGTAAGTGTTGCAAATTGCTGAATAACAATTTCAGTTTAGGTTTGACACACAGAGGGGTTGTCGTGGTTTAGTTGGTTTGGCTTTTTTTTCCCCCCTGAAGTTGTTGTTTCTGCCCAAATCTGAAAGTAAAATCTCATGGATCACTTAACACCTGAGGTTACAGCATGTTCCTGTCTGGGGGATGTTTGGTGACTCAAGTTTTACCTTGGTCCTCTATCCACAACCAGAAATTCCTGCTTATTTAAGGAAAAAAAAATAAGAAGAAAGAAAGAAAAAGGAAAAAAAATCCCAGCCTTTTGCTGTGGAATTGTGTTGCTTATTATCTAGATTGTCCTCATGAAAGATACATTAACTTTTTCTTCCAGCATTCTGTTAAAATTGGAAGAACTTGTGTTTCTGAGATATTCTGGGGTTTTTTTTTCTTCCCTCAGCTTGTGTTAGTTGGTGAAATGAAAGACAGTCCCTCTCCCTGCAAACCTGCCTTGGGTTTGAAATCCTGGCTGGTGAATTCAGGACAACAAATCCATTTCCATGTGCCCGTGGGAGATGCTCTGAGGGCTGGAGCCGTGGCCAAAACCTCACAAATTTTGGGAGCAGGAGCCTGCTGCAAGGCAAAGGGATGTGCTGGTCACCATGCCAGGCTGGCCAGGACATCCCCATGGCCAAAACCTCCCCAGTTTTGGAACAGGAACCTGCTGCAAGTCAAAATGATGATGCCATGGAAGGGTGGCCAGGACATTCCCATGACCAAAACTTCTCAAATTTTGGGAGCAGGAACCTGCTCCAAGAGAAAGGGATCTCCTGGTCACCATGCCAGAGTGACCAGGATATTCCCATGACCAAAACTTCTCCAATTTTGGGAGCAGGAACATGCTCCAAATCAGAGGGATGGTGCCATGGAAAGGTGGCCAGGACATTCCCATGGCCAAAACCTCTCCAGTTTTGGAAAAGGAACCTGCTCCGAGGCAAAGGGATGGTGCCATGGAAGGGTGGCCATGACATTCCCATGGCAAAATCTTTCCAATTTTGGAAGCAGGAACCTGCTCCAAGGCAAAGGGATGGTGCCATGCCAGGCTGGCCAGGACATTCCCAGTCTCCAGTTTTGTGTGAGAGAGGAAAAGGCTCCATGGAGACCTCAGAGTCCTAAAGGGGCTCCAGGAGAGCTGGAGAGGGACTGGATGGAGGGACAGGACACAGGGAATGGCCTCCACTGGCAGAGGGCAGGGATGGATGGGATTTTGGGAAGGAATGTTGCCTGTGAGGGTGAGGAGGGGCTGGGATGGATTTCCCTGAGGATGCCCCATTTCTGGAAGTGTCTGAGGCGAGTTTGGAGCACCCTGGGACAGTGGGGGGTGTGGAAGGGGGTGGCTCTGGGTGATCCCTCAGATCCCTTCCCACCCAACCCATTCCATGTTTCCCTGCCTCGGGACACTCCGTTATCTGCCTTTCCCCAGCTCAGCACCAGGCTGTTTACTCCGACCTCCTGGCTGCTTTCCATCTCAGCAGTTCTCTCCAACTTTCTGAATTTCCACAATGAGAGGTTTTTTCCCCCCTTTTCCTGCCCTTTGGCACCTGCAAAGCTTCACCCTGTGTGCCTTTAACCAGCTTATGTTCCATGCTGGGGAAGCTTCATCCCCACTCCAAGAACAAAAAATGCTCCTTCCCTTCCCTCCTCCTTCCCTTTGTAGGTGCATCCCTGGCCAGGAACATTTCTGAGGAGCCCAAGGGTCCATTTTGAGGCTAATGAGATGCAGGAGAGAAATGCAGAGTTTGCACCTCCCTCCCTTTGTCCTGCTGGCAGATAAACCCCAGCACCAGTTCTGGCAGAAAAGTTCCAGATTAATGAAAGCTGCCTTGAGGAGCTCTTATTTCCAGTTAGGTTTTCCTTCCCCTCGCTGAGGCAGCTCTCCCAAGCCTCTCCCAACTTTGCTCTGACCTAGAAAAAAAAAGGCTTTTTAATTTTTTTTTTTTTTTGCTCCAACAGCTGCACTTTATTACATCTTCACTGGTGGTCTTTTATAGTTTATTAGCCAAAGAAACAGATAAGTATAATCCAGACAATTATCATTAGTGGTAATATATTGTAATCAGAGGCACATGGGCAGCAAAATCTCCATTCAGTTGTCCAGGGATTGGAGTTTCCAGGCAAATATTGGGGAATTTGTTAAACCATGTTGAAAAAAAGCAGTAGTAGATTTAGTTGGGGGGGTGGAGGCTTGTATTGTTTCAGTCCTTCTGCTTCTGGGCTCTTAGGGTTATTCACAATTTGGCTTTTTGAGCCCCAAGAAGCCTTTGGCTGGGAATGACTCATTTATTTTCAGAAAGAGCAAAGCTCCAGTGAGAATACTGCATTTTTCAGGGATGGGTTGGGCGAGGAGCTGGGCAGGAGGGATGGGCTCCTCTCTGGGAGCTGCCTGGGGAATCTCACACCAGAGCAGCACATCTGGGGCAAAAGGGGACAAAAGCAGCTGGTTTGGACTTCACTCTCCCAGCTCTTCCCAGGCAGGGCAGGGCCAGGGACTGGGGATGGAGTCTTAGTGTTCCATATTGTGTCCGTATTTAAGGAAGGAAGCGGCTTAAACGAGCCAGGTGGTTTGGAAATCCACAGGATTTAGGACCTTTCACACTGGGAGAGGATTTCCAGGGCCACAGGTCTCAATTTAACTGACTCTGTCTGACTCTCTCAGAGCAAGGGGCTGACCTGCTCACCTTGGCTTGGTGCCATTCCATTAGGGCATTGTCCTGCTCACAAATCCACCGAGGTTTTGGCCATGGGAATGTCCTGGTCACCTTGAATTGGTGCCATTCCTTTGGAGCATTGTCCTGTTCCCAAACTGGAGAATTTTTGGCCATGGGAATGTCCTGGTACCAACTCTTTGACTTGGAGCATTGTCCTGTTGCCAAAATTGGAGAATTTTTGGCCATGGGAATGTCCTTGTCACCCTGGCATGGTATCATCCCCTTGGAGCATTGTCCTTCTCCCAAAATTGGAGAGGTTTTGGCCATGGGAGTGTCCTGGTACCAACCCTTTGACTTGGAGCATTGTTCTTCTCCCAAAATTGGAGAGGTTTTGGCCATGGGAGTGTCATGGTCACCCTGGCATGGTATCATACCCCACTGGAGCATTGTCCTTCTCCCAAAATTGGAGAGGTTTTGGCCATGGGGATGTCCTTGTCACCCTGGCATGGTATCATCCCCTTGGAGCATTGTCCTTCTCCCAAAATTGGAGAGGTTTTGGCCATGGGGATGTCCTGGTCACCTTGAATTGGTGCCATTCCCTTGGAGCATTGTCCTGTTCCCAAAATGGGAGAATTTTTGGCCATGGGAATGTCCTTGTCACCCTGGCATGGTATCATACCCCACTGGAGCATTGTCCTTCTCCCAAAATTGGAGAGGTTTGGCCTGGTCACCTTGAATTGGTGCCATTGGGAACATGTTCCTGTTCCCAAAATTGGAGAATTTTTGGCCATGGGGATGTCCTGGTCACCCTGGCGTGGTATCATCCCCTTGGAGCATTGTCCTGTTCCCAAAATTGGAGAGGTTTGGCCATGGGGGTGTCCTTGTCCCAGGATTGGAGAGGTTTGGCATTGGGATGTCCTGGTCACCCTGGCGTGGTACAATCCCTTTGATCTGGGGCATTGTCCTGCTCCCAAAATTGTAACATTTGCCACAGGGATGTCCTGGTCACCCTGGCTTTGGCAGGGGTGACACAGAGGGTGCTGCCACCGAGGTGCCACATGCAGGGGTGGGTGTCAGACCTGTGGGACATGCCAGAGGTGCAGTCCAGGAGCTGCCCAGAGCAGTGAGGGATAAATTCCATCAGGGCTGCGTGTCACCAACATCTGCCAGCAGCACAGCTGGGAGGAGGATCCCTCACTCCATGTCCCTCCCACCTTCCCCACGGTCCCTCAGGCTGCCAGGAGAAGGCAGCCCAGGCTGGCCAGGAGCAGCTCCAGGGGTGCTGCAGGACCGGAAGCAGGAAAAGCAGCTTTCATGTCCTTAACGAGCCCCTAATGAGGATTTGGAGCAGCCACATGGCCACCTAATCCCCCACGCTGCTTCCTCATCCATTCCTGCACCTTTTCCCTCCAGGAGGAAGGGCTGGGTTTCATTTCCCCCGTCCTGGTGGGTGGATGGCCCCCACGGATGTGGCAGGAATCCCCCTCCCTGCTCCAGCCTCTCCTGGGCCATCCTGGTGCCTCTCCAAACTTCCCCTCACCTCATCCACCCTCCCTTCCTTTGGCATCTGATGCTTCCCAGATCTGTCATTCTTTTTATTTTACCT